TGCTGAAAGTGGGTTATAATAAATAGAAAAGAAAACTGGGAAACCCACAGGAGAATCCAGGTTTGCTAACCCTGCCCAGCAGCAAATCTTTGACCTTAGTAGAGAAGCTCAACAGTTATATATTTGTATCATTACTATTTCTACTATTAAAACTACCACTCCTACTATTACCATTAGTATTGTTTCTGCTGTATGAACACCAGTTCAACAAATGTCCAACAAATTTCAGCTTCTTTCGTGAAATGTAAGCTTGACTGTCAATTATGTTTTCACAGCTACCCACAAACCAAGCTGATCCTTTGGTTTTCATTCATTTTAAGTGTCAACAGATGTTCTCTTAAAATATTCACAAGCTGTACCAAAGGGAAAGGTTTAGATGGCCAGTAAATTTAAATAGAATTGGGACTAAGAGGAAAGGATTTCTTTGGGGTTATAAGCACATGAGTGTGTGAATTATAAGCACAAATAAGTGTTGTGGTCTAAAGAAGCCACTTACTTCCTTGACTGTCTTTTAACAGTTTTTTCTCCTTCCCAGGGATGGGAAATCCTCAGTTCAGCAGCTGACATCCTAGAGGACTTTGTGGAAACTGGTTAAACTCTCTTATGTGTTCACCTGATGCACCAGTAGCATCTTTAACTGTGAGCACTTCCTTCCCATCACAGCCAGGTTACCCTGGAAGACCCACTTGGGTCTTCACTCCTGAAGCCAGACCCTAGGATGGCTGTCTTCATCTCACACCTGCTCCCCCACAGAAGAAAGTTGCTAAGAGGCTGTTCCACCGGTCAGGTGCTCCTGCCTCCTCTCCATGGCCCAGTCTATTCATGTGACTTCTGATCTTCTACCTTCTAATTCTGTGTATTGCTTGACTCTTTGCCCAGTCTGTTTGGATCTTTTCCCACCCAAATGCTTCTGAGGTACATGCTACCCCTTTTGTCTGATTTCCCGAGGCCTAGCTTTCTTCCTGATCTCCACAAGCTATAGTGATTGTAGCTCCTGCATAAGAAATACAAAGAATACAAAACTTTCGCTTCCCAGACATTCCCTCGGGATGAGAGAGTGTAGAAGTCTGGCTGCAAATTGCGAGACAGGAAATGGATCACAACCTGCTGCAAACAAGGCCTTGATCATCCTGGTTATTCCAGTCCATGGCCTGAGCCATGTGATGACAACTCCATTTGGATCCTCCTTTTGTCTTGATTGGCCCTCCCAGTAAGGAGGAAGACATTGAATGGTAAATGGAAAATCCATAGAGGATCTGGAATACTCAACTCCTCCCTTCACCCTTGCTTACAGGGAGACATCATTTCCTCCAGAAGCATGGAAGAGAATGTTGTTTGTTTGTTTTCTTTTTCTAAATAGACTTTATTTTTTAGAACACTTTTAGGTTCACTTCAATTTATTTAATTATTATTTTTTTGAGACAGGGTTTGGCTCTGTTGCCCAGGCTGGAGTGCAGTGACCTGATCTCGGCTCATCGCAGCCTCGACCTCCTGAGCTGAAGCCATCCCCCTGCCTCAGCCTCCTGAGTAGCTGGGACCACAGCCACTATGCCCAGCTAATTTTTGTATTTTTGGGGGGTGGGGGGGATAGAGATGGGGTTTTGTCATGTTGCCCAGGCTGGCACAGCAAAATTGAGTGGAATGGTAGCGAGTTCCCATATACCTCCTACCCACACGCTGCACAGCCTTCCCTACTCCCAACACTTTCCAAGAGAGTGGTATGTTTATTACAAATATTGAACCTACATTGACGCATCATTATCACAAAAAGTCCATAGTTTACATAAGGATTCACTCTTGGTGTTGTACATTCTATCTATGGGGTTGGGAAAATATATAATGACATATATTCAACATTATAAAGTCATACAGAAGAACAGTTTCACTGTCCTAAAAATCCCCTGTGCTCGATCTACTCATTCCTCCCTCCCCACAAACCCCTGGAAACCACTGATCCTTTTACCGTCTTCATAATGTTACTTTTCCCAGAATATCATATCGTTGGAATCACACAGTACATAACCCTTTCAGATTGGCTTCTTTCACTTAGGCATTAAGTTCCCTCCATGTCTTTTCATGGCACTGAATAATATTTCATAGTCTGGATGTACCATAGTTTATTTATCTGTCCACCTACTGAAGGACATCTTGGTTGCTTCCAAGTTTTGGCAATTATGAATAAAGTTGCTATAAACATCCATGAGGAATGTATTTTTAAATTATAGTTCTTATCGATGATGACATGTTAATGAGCAGGGATTAGTTATGACAAACATGCAGTTCAGTATGTAGAATATATAGCCAAGACTTCCCAAACACCTGTTCTCAAGTAGTCCGTAGATAAATCACTCGAGGAACTTGTGAAAAACATAGCTTTTGAACACCATTCCCAAAGACTGATTCAGGAGGCCTATGAAATCACCAGGCTTAAGAAACAGGCTTAACCTACAAAAGGAAGAAAGCAATGGAAAGTTAAGATCACTCTATTTGCACCAGAGAGGATCATGCACAATGAGAAGGTTGGAGACTAACATCGAAAACTCGTTTGATGGAGACATTTTGTTCTTCACTGAGACTCTTGGGGAAATGACATGCTGGCTTAAAGAATTGTTGATATGTGCTATCCTCTCCCATTAAAAGGAGCTAAAAAAGCCCTGGGCACCAAGATGTGAACTATTTCCTTCAGGGTAGAATGGAGCCACTAAAAATAGCCTTGGAAAATAAGGAGTTGTAGAGGTTCAACAAGAAAAACAAATCAGAAATAAATCTGGTACTGAGAAAGAAACGGGGAGAAAGATGAGCTCTCACAGGCAGTAGAGAGAAAGAACCTATTAGCTTGGGCACATAAAAGCAGGTACATTTTTCCCACCCACAGAGCTGCTGGCTGGCATTCCCACAGAGTAAATCAGTCCCTCCAGAAGGAAGGAAGATGAGTCAGAGAATCAGCCAGGATAGGATAGGTTACGCCAGGGTAACAAACAACTCCTCAAATTTCAGTGGCTTAAAAGCACAAGTTTATTTCTCCCTTGTGTTACACATCCAGTGTGGGCTGGAGGGGGCTCTGCTGCTTGTCATCACTCAGAGACCAGGCTGGCAGAGGCCTCATTTCCACACGTGCTTCTAGGACCTCTGTGGCAGGGGACAGCGGGTGCTACACATCCAGCACTGGCAATTAAATACTCAGAAGTGATGCATGTCACTTCCACCCCCACATCATTGGCCAATGGCTGATGTGTGTCACATGACCTTGCTTGTGTTTAAGTGGAATAAGAAAGTGAAATCACGTCACGTGCCTAGAAGGAGGAGAATGAAAATTGGTGCAAACAGCTCCATGGCTACTATAGTCAGATAAAGGAGCTGAGGGAGGGTGCACGGCAGACAGTGGAGGGAAAGCCCCTTTTGAACCACTAATTTGCAACTTGAGTTTCATCTCTCTCCTTACCCATCAAGAGGAGCAGGCCCATCCAGAGCCCCTGAGGGTATTTCTGGATTCAGTTTCTGCCTTTATCGGGAAACTACATTTACTCTCTCTGGACCTCGTTTTAGTGCCTGTCTCATGGGGTTGTTGTGAGGATTGCTAAGTGAGATCACACAAGGGAAGAGCTTTAGGCCAGAGATGCTCAAACTGGGCTGCAACAGTGAGCCACTTGAGGAGCTTGTTAACATGCATTTCTGATTCAGCAAGTCATAGGTAGGGCCTGAGATCCTGCATTTCTAACAAGCTCCTAGGCAATGCCAATATTGCTGGTCCATGAACCACCCTTTAGTAGCAAGGATTTAGAGTAAGCAGCGCCCAGACATGGTCCATTATATGTATTCTTAAAACTGGATCAAGAGATTCCAATAGTTCTGCTGCCCCCACCCTCAAAGAATGAAAGTTACAACTGCTTGTTAGTAGAGATGTTCATGTCTGATGCGTCCAGAGATGAATGTTCCAGGGAACCCTCGTAGTTAAGGGAGCAGGTGCTGAAGTCAAGAGTCCTGGGTTATCTCCAAGCCTTGTCACTTAGCAGCCATGTGACTTGGATGAGAAACTGTCTGAACCTCTGTATCAACATCTGTAAAATGAGCGTAATAATACAGACCCACTGTCCCTCATCTGCAATTCCCTAGTCCAAAGATCTTTTAAAAAGATGTTTCTCTATTAAGTTGGTATGCATTGACTTGGGTGCAAAAGTCAACCTGCATTAACCTGAAGCCATTTGTGACTTTTTTCCTTCTTTTGTGACTATTCCTATGTTTTACCACAGAAAAGTGAATGTGTTTGATAGCAAGATGCTGCTGCAGATTCTGTTGAGGATGTGAAACTACGTACAGTACCTACCCCATGTTACCTTCCTAAAAACTAAAAGAAATCCTGAATTCTGAAACACATTTGACCTCAGTGGTTTTGGAGAAAAAAAAAATGTACCTAAAATGTCTCTTTCTCCAGTAGTTGGAAGGAGTGAGGGGAAAAAAATGCATGAAAAACACCTACTACCGTACTTAGCACATTGTAAGTGCTTAACAAATAGATGTTACTACTGAAATTATTGTTTCTCCTAGTGCTTCTCATAGAAAGAGGGGAAGGGAATGTGGAAGATGGTGCCTTCAGGTGCTCTAGAGATAGAAGGACAGGACCAAGATTGTCCCTATCTGTTTGAAACCCCCTCAGTTTGTCTTCTACCTTCTCCTTAAAGAAAGAAAAGAAATATGCAAGGAAATGAACACATGCACTGAGTATGCACACAGGAAGCCTGGACAAAAGCAAGACTCAGGCCGTGGAAAGAGCTCTTCTCTCTGCCTGTAGAAGCAGCCCAGCAGGAACCCAAGCTTCATAGTCAACCAAGGACAGTTGGTCTTTTTTGATGTGTCTTTGAATATACTGTTGAGGAGTCTCACTCGAGCTAAGGACTCTGAGGGAGGAGATGGGATTTCCATTTCTTACTCTGCCATTCACCTGCTGGGGGAACTCAGGAATGCCTTCATCTCCACAGGGCTCGGTTTTCTGATGTGAAATGGGCCAGTAATACAGATCCTGCTGCGACTGCCTTATTGAGGGGGCCGAATAAAAGCGATCACAGATGTGAATGCATTTTGAAATGGAAAATCTGTGTTTGCAGGTAGAGTACATTTATTAATCTGACTACAAGCAGATCAGTGAGAGGACTGACCTCATGCAGGGAACGCTGGTTAGCACGCTCTTTAATCACACTTCTGTTGTCAACTCTGATGGCATTGTCATTTGCATTTGGCTCCCTCACCTTCGCCAGAGCCATTTGTGCTTGTCAATTAGGCTGGTATGATTGGGTTTTCACAAGATGTGAATTAAGTCAGCTGCTCTGGCCCCACCCCCACCACTGACACACACTCAAATCAAGGCTTTGGGATATTGTTTTTTAAGCTAATCAATGACAATGATTAGAAAAAAAATAATGGGGTGCAGATTTGAAGAGTGTCCCAGGAGGTGTCCGTGAATATTCATTCAAAGCTTTTGAGAATCTGCGAGTATATCCTGGAGTGCCAGCAAATGGACAACTGCCCCAAAGTAGCACTGATGGCTGATTCCAGCATCTTTGCAAGGGACTCCCTTCTTCCTTAATCCCCACCCTACCCTGACTCTGAAGGAGCCAGCCACAGAAACATGAAAGTTAGTTCAGCGCAAGTGAAAAAAGAGACCATGTGCCCCCTCCCAACCCACAAAAGATCCCTATAGCCTGGGTTGGGGTTGGGGGGACATTGAATAGGATGGGAGACTGAGGTTTGGTATGGTCTGAGGGGCCATTTAGCATCTGAAATTGAGTATAAATGACAAAAGTAAGACAGAATAAGGACCCTCCTTTTTAAGAGCCTGCAGATCCCAAATCCTGATTTCCTTCAGGGGAAATCCCAGGTACCTAGCTAGTCCCAGAAGTAAATAATTTCTTAAGCGAAAAAGTAGTAGTAGCCTAAAACAATAGCTAAGAAAATTACTGTCCAAGAGATGTTTCCTTTCCCTATAGAACCTCAAGATAATGTCTTAACATGTGTCCTTGAGTTGCCTTTCAGAAACTCAACCCCCACTGAACAGATCCAGTGACATGTAGATCTCAGATAAGGAGAAAATAATGACTAAACTTTAACCATCATTCTTTATTCTAAGTTTCTTCCTGGGGGAGCTTAGAAAAAGTCACACCCCCTAGCCAATTAACAGTCTTCCACTGACTCCGAATTTTTAAACAAAGTTTTTCTTCCCTAACCAATTACAAATCATAAAGTCTAAATCCACTTATGACTTGTCAGCTCCACTTCAACATATCTCACCCTTTTAGGTCTAAACCAATGTGTAACCTTCATGTATTAATTTATGATTCATACTGTGACTTTCACTTACCTGTAGTTTACCCCTGCCTTAAAAATCCTTGCTACAAGCCATCAGGAAGGTCAGGATTTAAACATTCAACTGTTTGATCCCCCTCGCTTGGTCCCCTACAATAAAAGCCTTTTGTTCCATCACTACAAACCTTGGGGTAGATACCTGGTTTTACTAAGCCAGGCAAGCAGACCCAAGTTTGGTTCCTAACAAAAACAGTACTTGTTAACCTAAACTGATGAGAAATCAAAGTATGAATCTGCCCAATATGTCATCAAGGGGCTGGAGGGAGTTAGCAGAGTGTTTGGAAGTGCAGCATTTGGAGGGAAAGAGAAATCCATTTCCTGTCTGTGTCCCTGTTGTGTTCAGTCCACTCAATAAACTGGTTCCACATATCAAGGGCTTAACTCTGGGACCGGTACATGGCTCAGCAGTCAGATGACAGCAGTTATTACCATTATTTTTATCTTAACTTTCACTGAAGGCGGATTTAGACCTTTTAAGTAAATCTACAGAAATATAATATACCTAGTAAATGAGAGAGTAGAGAGACTTCTTACCCTGTTTTAAAATTTTTTTACGTTCCTGTCTTTGCAGGTGAATTTGGAACCATCTTCAGAATCAGGTTGCCGTGCAGTCTGTCAATGTATTGTAACTGAGACCTGCAAGAGCTCTTCTCACACCTGGGAACATCATGGTGACATTGTGTCTGCCACCAGCTCCAGCCCCAGGAAGGTAGCATGCAAGGATAGGTGTGGCTGGTTATCTTCCCAATGCCTGATTAAGGCATAATAAAAATCAGATGCTGTTGGCGTGGAACAGGGTCCCCAAAATGCTCAGAGCCCTATTCTCATTGTTCCTGCCTCAAAATCTTATCCCAGAGCTCCTTTCCTCAGGTCCTGCTCTCTGCTTTCCTAGCCTGTCTGATAAACCAAGCCATTTGTTGACATAGCTTCAGAAGGCCAGGGGCTCAAATTCAAATCCTTGTTCTTCCATTTACTACCAGGAAGCCTTAGCCAATTATCTTCCTCTCACCTGACTTCTGCTTCCCATCTATAAAATGGGAATGCTGGCAGCTGTCCTATTGATCAGGTGTTATTCTAGGGTTCAATTGCAGTTGTAGATGTGGGAGGGTTCAGGAAAACTTTAAAGCGCCATATAAATGATCATCAAGGATCTCAAGAGTGTAATGTCTTCATCTCTTTTGGCCAGATAACATTCTGCATGTGAATAGGTTGAACCTCAATCCTTTTCAAAAGTAGAATTCTAGAAATATGATAGGGTCAATGTGAAACACATTTTTGACTAACCCCAATCTGTCCCAGTAACTGATTAAAGATCCAGTTGGGCTTTTGACTAAAATCCCTATAGACATAGTATTTGATCTAGCCCATTCAGGATCTGTCCAAAATTTGCCATTAAGAAAAAAAAAAAAAAACTGTCAAAATAGGAGGTTTCTTAGGAACTTTCTGCCTCTTATGAAAACAGTCCCCAGGCTGAGCACTGTTGGTGCCTCTCAAACAGTCAATATTGTGGCTCAGTCCTGCCCTCCTGTTGAGTAAGGATTGTATGTATCAGATGTCCCTTGCCGGTCTCCTTGATTGCTGGTCTGGTCAGATTCACCTGCACAGTACCCTGCACTGGCCCAGAATCTTCCAAGAGGAAGCCTTTGTCCTCAGGGCTGACAAGCAAGACAAGGGCTTTCAAGCCAAAAAAAAAAAAAAAAATTTCCATGGACCCCCAAGAAGTAACATCCAAGTCCAGTTGTGGCTCCAGACTGAATTGAGCAATTAAACCCACATCTGCCCCTGCCCAAAACCTCAGAAATGTTAACATCTTACACGTGTCAAGAGGGTTATTTATGAAACTATTTGCTTGTCAACCCCAGGAGGACATTCTGTACTTTTTCCCTGGAATACTGTATATTTACGAGCCATGGCTCAAAAACTAACTTTGGCAGGAATATTTATCCAAGAAAAATTCTATCATCCGCTTGCAAAGCACAGCCTGCGCTCAGTCACCAGCGCGTGGTGGCTGGGTCGGGTCCTGGTACAGAGCTGGTCCATGGCTCACTGCCGCAGGGAATGAATTCCAGATGTGTGCTTCTTCAGGGGTAGGATTGCAATTTCAGATAAGAAGCTTGCTTTTTTTTTTTTCTTACTCTTTCTTTTTTTTTTTCTTTTTTTTTTTTTTTTTTTTTTTTTTTTTTTTTTCACCTCCATTCCCAATCTAGCAGCATGCTCAAATAATTAGCCTTGAACGTGTGGAGCATGCAGCCTATTTGTCGTCTCCTGCACTGGATATTTGATGTGTTATCACCCTCCTCTCTGACCTCGTAAAGGCCCTCAGTTTGCAGAGCTAAGCTTCTGATGTCCCTGTTTTAGGATCTGGTCATCTATTGCTAGCATGTGACTCACAGAGAATCACTTAGTGGGAGAGTGGGAGGCCTAGTGCCATGTGGATAGGCTCTAATCTGGGACAGTAAAATACCCACCAGGAACTGTTGCTATCAGCCTTCCCTAGGAACTGGTGTACCTCCAACACGGCCCTGCCGTCAGCTTCATCAGCCAATAGAGTCTTCTGCTGACAGGGACCCCAAGCCCAGCCATCATCGTAGCAGATTCCTTGCTTTCCCATGGGTTTGGCCAATCAACTCACAATCCATTTTTCTGTTCTCTTCGGGGTTGAAGGGCCCAAGGCGGGAATAGGCTCTGAGTGTGTGTATGCTGTCCAGTGACAGGTAAAAGGAGACAAGGACATGTATATGGGGACCTAGAGAGACAGAAAGATCAGAGTAACAGAGAGATCTTGACACTCAGAGACATGACTGTGGCATTGATTCTTACACAACCTCTGCAACATGTTTCTATAGCTGAGATGCCTATATTTTTAATTCTTAAGTCTCTTGAACCTTGATTAAGGACCTATTCCTAAATGTCTTGGTCCACAGCATTCTTAGAGATAAAATAAAATCCCTTTAGCTAATTTTTTTTTTACCAGACCATATGGTAGTATACTAAAGTATTATTATCATTGTTGCTATTTATTAAATATTTGGCGTTTAGTATACTCTATTTGTGGTTCTTAAAAACTGCAAAGATTTTATCATCCTTAATTTACAGGTTTAAAAATGCCAAGGCAGGGGGAGGTTATGCAGTTTTCCAACAGTCACAAAGATGATTAGGGAGCTGGTATTTGAACCCGGAATTTACTGGTTCTTTCATGAGAGAGAAAAGGAAAGAACTAAGAAGTCGAAGGAAGGAAAGGGGGTGAAAGTTGAAGTATAAAACAGAACCATCAACTCTTGAGAGTTTGATGTTGTTTTCCCCGAGCTGCCCTTCCAGCCTCAGTCGACCTTCCTGAGTGAGGCACGCCGTCTGAAGGTCATGTCCCTGCAAGGAGGCTCCAGTGTGCACATCCAAGAGGGCTGAGGGTGGGAGGTCTCTATGGGGGAGGCTTCCATGTCCTCCTTAGGCTTTTTGGCAGTGGAGACACCAGCAGATCCAGCAAGGGGTTATTTGGGGCCAAGTCAAGAATCTAAAATGCCTGAAAGCTTCTGGTGCTGGTCACTGGGACTCAAACTCCCCTGAAGACCTCTCCTAACCAAGATCAGGACACAGAATCAAGTTGTCTCTCTACTCATTCCCCTCCTGCCCCAAGCAGGCACCTTCTTGGCAAGGAGCACTGCCTCCAGAAAAAGACAGGTCCATGGAGCCTCAGGCCACAGCCCAGGGTCAGGAGGCTACAGGAGGTCACCCCAGGCATGTGAGGGCAGCCCAGGCTATAAACCCCAGGCCTGGGTGTGGGCACAGAGCCAGCAGACTCACCTAAGGAGCAGGGACAACAGGAGAAAGGACTGCTTGAAGAAAGACCTTGGGCAGCCTCCAGACCTCGCTGGGGAGTGGGGTGTCATCCCAACATAGTTTGTCTCATGGAGTCACCTAGAACTGCATTTCTGAGTCTCCACATCCTTATGAGTTTTAACAGAGATTAAGATTGTATCATAAAAGCCCCACCCTGGTTCTTATCCTTATTCTGCTGATGTGTTAACTTGGCCATGTCTCTGGGCCCCCCTGCCTTAGTCCTTGTCCCTGAACAATGGAAGGAATATTTTATTCCCCTATATTAGAGGGTAGAAGTGGTGGATTTGAGCTCTTCATTCAGACAGGTCCCTTTACTTCTTGGATGAGTTACTTCATCGTGGTTTCCTCATCCTTAAAATGGGAATAATGACATACCTACTCCATAAAGATGTTGTGAGGGTAAATCACAACATGAATATAAAGATATTTTGTTCTTGGCACATAAAAAAGTGCTCAATAACTGTAAGCTCTTTTTTAAAAATTAATTTAACTTCCTGGAGAAAAAAATAAAACATAGTAATGGTGACATGCTTGGACACTGTCAACTAAAGTGAGGAATTATTAATCTCTATATACAGATAGGTAAATTAAGTTCAGAAATGTTAGCAGATTTGGCTAAGTTGAATAACCAGACACTGTGGTTTGGGAAGTGATCTCCCATCTGAGATGATAAGAAAACTGCTCCCAGGTTGACCTTACTACAGGAAAGTCTGTTTGCTGGGGAGGAAGGTGGGCAGGTGGAAGAGCTCAAGAAATGGAGTGATGCACTAGATTAGGGCCAATGACAGTGTTGGTGCCATTAGACCTTGAAAGAGCATGAGGCCTCCAAAATGTGTCTTTGCCAGGCACCCAATGGCCCACACTTGCTCAAGGCCACCACCCAAAAAAAGAGTGACTGCTACAAGTTAGAAGGATGAGTTTTCCAGATTTGAACTGCATCTTAGCCAATGTGGGCTAGTGGGAAGAGCAAATATATGGGAAGTAAAGAATCCTAAGTCCTTAGTTACTACCTTGTTGACTTTGAACAACTTACTTCGGGAACCTCTGTAAGCCTCAGTTTCCCCAGGCTCTAAGATGTGGAAAACAAATGCCCATATTTCAGGTTTGTTATCAGGATTACAAGATATAAGTACTAAGCACTTAATAAGTTAAGCACCTACCTTCTTTTTTTTAATGAGGAATTTTTATTTTTAATTTTTCCATAAGTTTTTGGGGTAGAGGTGGTATTTGGTTACATGAGGAAGTTATTTAGTGGTGATTTGTGAGATTTTGGTGTACCCATCACCCAAGCAGTATACACTGCACCATATTTGTAGTCTCCTATCCCTCGCCCCCCTCCCATTCTTCCCCCCGAGTCCCCAAAGTCCATTACATTATTCTTATGCCTTTGTGTCCTCTTATCTTAGCTCCCACATAAAAATGAGAACATACAATGTTTGGTTTTCCATTCCTGAGTTACTTCACTTAGAATAATATCTCCAGTCTTATCTAGGTCACTGTAAATGCTGTTAACTCATTCCTTTTATGGCTGCATAGTATTCCATTGTATACATATCACCCATGTTACTTCTTCTTGCTCACTTCAGTTAAATGGGTATTGGACAAATTCTCTAAAATAGGAGAGCCCTCCACCTTTATTAACACCCTGATGGCTGAACACTAGCTGGAGACACAGGAGCCACATCTAGTCAAGAGGGCAGTGTGAACTGAGGCAGGAAGCCCTGCACTTTCAACCTTAGAAATGTCAGACTGATATTATTTTTAATTTTTAAGAAAATGTGTTGGCCTTATTGAAAAATCAAGAGAGAACCTTCAAGTGCCAGCAATGAAAAAAGAGGAGAAAACTTTTGGATGTGACACATCTCAGAGGGG